CCTCCCTCCTCAGTCTGCCCTTCTCTCACCCTCCAGTCCCCCTGGGAACCCGGAATTCAGACAGATCCCCCACCTTTGAGTCCCCAGCCCAACTTCCTGGATCCCCACTCCCCCACATAACTGTACCCCCAAACACCACACTTCCCCCCAACCCACAGGACCCAGCTGGGAGGCCAGCCTCCACCCCTGCCTGCCTGGCCCTGGGACTGAGGTCTGGGGACACCCGGCCCCTCCTCACCCAGACCCCGGGAGGACCCCATCCCCCGCCTTTGCCCCCCCACGCCAGCCCCAGCCCCTGGGCCGGGACCCCCACAGGGCCCTCTCCACGCAGAGAACGACCCCCGACGGGGCATCCCCGACCCCGACGCCCCAACTCAGTTCAGAGATCCTGCCCGGGGACCCTGACTTCAGCGGCGGACCCCCTCCCCGATCCGGGGCCGCACACCCCGCCCCCCCGCCGGGGCCGGGATCCCCGACCCTCGGTCGCCCCGCCGCCTCCAGGCCCGGGCTCGCGCCCCAGAACCGGACCACCCCCAGGGCACCGATCCGGGCGTCCGAGGACCCCCGTGCCAGCCCCGGAGGCACCCCGCCCGGGCCCGGACCTCGGCGTCCCGGGGCGTCCCCTTCCCCACCCGCGGATGCAGCCCCCAGCCCCCGCCCGCCCGGGACCCGCGCCCGGACCCCCGCCCCCGGCGCTGCGGTACCTCGGCTGATGACGGCCAGGCCGGCCAGGGCGGCGGCGGCGAGGAGCCGGAGCCGGGCCCCGGGCGCAGGGGGGGGCATCGCGGCAGCGGCGGCGCGGAGGGGGAGGGGAGAGGGGGGGCCGTCCCGGGGCGCGCGAGGTCTGGGGGGGAGAGGGGGAGGGGGAGGGGACCCCGCCAGCGGCTGCACCGGCCCGGGGGGGGCGGCGGGGGCGGGGGAAGGGGCTGGGGGGGCGCGACGAGGCGGCCGGAGCTGCTGCAGACCCGGGGAGGGGGGCGGCGCTGACGGGCAGGGCGGCCGACCAATCAGGGCGGGCGGGGGGCCGGGGAGGCGGGGCGGAGGGGGGTTGCTGGTGGGAGGGAGAGGCCTTTGTTACTGCGGCCCGGCCCCTACCCCCTCCCGCCCCCGGCGTCCCCACGGCCTCCCCCCTCGATCCCCAGAACCCCGGGCCGGGGACACTTCCCCCCCGAAGCCCACCGCCCTTCTGCTTCAGGTGCAATGTCAGCCTCCCTCGGACCCAGGGGCCCAGGCCCCCAGCCCCTCCTCCCTCGGACCCAGGGGTCCAGGCCCCCAGCCCCTCCTCCCTCGGACCCAGGGGTCCAGGCCCCCAGCCCCTCCTCCCTCGGACCCAGGGGTCCAGGCCCCCAGCCCCTCCTCCCTCGGACCCAGGGGTCCAGGCCCCCAGCCCCTCCTCCCTCGGACCCAGGGGTCCAGGCCCCCAGCCCCTCCTCCCTCGGACCCAGGGGTCCAGGCCCCCAGCCCCTCCTCCCTCGGACCCAGGGGCCCAGGCCCCCAGCCCCTCCTCCCTCGGACCCAGGGGTCCAGGCCCCCAGCCCCTCCTCCCTCGGACCCAGGGGCCCAGGCCCCCAGCCCCTCCTCCCTCGGACCCAGGGGCCCAGGCCCCCAGCCCCTCCTCCCTCGGACCCAGGGGCCCAGGCCCCCAGCCCCTCCTCCCTCGGACCCAGGGGCCCAGGCCCCCAGCCCCTCCTCCCTCGGACCCAGGGGTCCAGGCCCCCAGCCCCTCCTCCCTCGGACCCAGGTGTCCAGGCCCCCAGCCCCTCCTCCCTCGGACCCAGGGGTCCAGGCCCCCAGCCCCTCCTCCCTCGGACCCAGGTGTCCAGGCTCCCACCCCTCCTCCCTCGGACCCAGGGGTCCAGGCCCCCAGCCCCTCCTCCCTCGGACCCAGGTGTCCAGGCTCCTAGCCCCTCCTCCCTCGGACCCAGGGGTCCAGGCCCCCAGCCCCTCCTCCCTCGGACCCAGGGGTCCAGGCCCCCAGCCCCTCCTCCCTCGGACCCAGGGGTCCAGGCCCCCAGCCCCTCCTCCCTCGGACCCAGGGGTCCAGGCCCCCTGCCCTCCTCCCTCAGACCCAGGGGTCCAGAGCCCCAGCCCCTCCTCCCTCGGACCCAGGAGCCCAGGCCCCCAGCCCTCTCTTCCTGTGGGACATAGTTCAGCTTCTCTATTTTCATGAATAACATTGACTTTAGGGAAAACATTTCCTTCTTCCTTCCATCCCAACCCTCACCCCCAGGAGAACGAGAGAAGGGGGAGGGACTGGGGGACCTGATCTGGGGGCTGGGAATGGCGAGGAGATGGCTGTTCAAGGCTCAGGTGCAAAACATCCTGGTTACTCATTCTTTTCAGGGGCTTGGCTGGGTGACCTTGACAAGTCACTTCTCTTCCCAGAACCTCAGGGTCCTGCCCTGCTGGATGGAGCCATCACCGTCCAGGGTTATTAGAATAATAAGGAAGACCCTGGAAGGTGTAACTCTGCCCAGCACACCAGCAACCTCTAGCTCCTCCTTCCTCCTGGCCCGACTACGCACCGGCTTACCAGGCACAGTCCTCCCTCCTGGCCCCCAGGAGAAGTGCCCCCGTCCCCTGTCCCCTGCCCCTCATATAGGCCTCTGAGAACAGTCTGAGCTTGCTCCATGTCTGGGGCAGCTGGGGGCTGGAACTTTTTAGTCTCTCTGAGCTGCCACCCTCCCCCCAGGTATGGCTGCTCCACCACAGCAGCCAATCCCTGGCCTCCCAGCCCCCACCTCTGTCACCACCTGAGCTCAACAATCCCGGAACCTCCCCCCACACTGCTGCCTGCTCTTCTTTCTGTTCCTAGACAAAGGCCAAACTTACTTCAACCCCAGGGCCTTTGCACATGCTGTTCCCTCTTCTGCAATGCTCTTCTGACCAGACTAGCACAAGGCTCTCATTGGGGCCTCCCCTCTAAGAAGGCTTTGCTGATTCTGCTCTGCACAGAACCCTCACTCCCCACCCTGTCTTTCTGTCCTACCTCGGTTTTGCTTTCTTGGTGGCATTTCCCATTCCCTTATTTCATGGATTCAAGTGTTTATTTTCAGCCAACCTCCCCCCCACCCCCCTCCATGCCCCACTTCCAGAATGTAGGCTTTGCTCCGGCTGGGTTTTGTGGGGGCCCCCCCGAGTCACCCAGGAAGCGTCCTCGTCTGTCCTCCCCCACGCCTCTGCCCCGGATCTGGGGATTCCGCCTGCACTTGGCAAGGGGGTTGCCTTCTGAATGGAGACACCTCCTTCTGGCAGGACGTGGGTGTGGACAGAGGGCGTCCCTTCCATATCTGAGCTGCTAATCAGATTTGCAAATGAGAGGCTTTTCTTGGACCCACGCTGCTTTTGAAAAACATGGTTTTAATTACCAGCATGCTCGAATCCAGACATTTCACACTGAAATCTGAGTCTCTCTGGATTCTCCTACAACAGAAAAAAAGTCAGAAGATCTGGCAACAACAGAGTCCCCGTTCCTGCCGGGAGGTGGGTGGCAGGGCAGGTGCGGGAGGAGTGGGAGCCGGGTTCGCCGCAGCTGGGCGCCCCCTGCAGGTGGGCACCTGCTCTCCAGGCGGCCCGCCAGGCCCATGGCGCTCCTTTTGTGACCTGCCTCGGCCGGTGGAGTTCTGAGTTTGCGGACCCTGCACTAGAGTCGTATGAGGTCAGGAGAAGATGACCAAGGACAGGGACCAGGGACCTCGGACTCAGGGGCCCCGAGCAGGGCACAGTCTGGCTGTGTGGCCGGAGGCATTGGGAGCCTCAGTTTCCCTGTGTGCAAAGCAGAGCGTGGAGGGTGAGGTCTCAGGATCCCCAATGCCCCCGCAGAGACCCCTGCATTTTTCTGGTTTTGAGTTGCTTTTTCAGTGTGTCAGTCCTGCGGGCCTCAGCCTCTGTAGCATGCTGAGGCTGGCTGGGAGGGTGCTGCCCCCATGGCTGTAGGAGGGTGGCTGTCCCTCTGGGTTCACAATGCCCGGCACGGCCTCTGCACCAACAGGAGTCCATTTCCTGTGCTCCAGGGGCCTCCGTGTTTCACACCTGCTCCTCGGGGGCAGGGAGTGGGCATGTTTGACGCGGCTGACAGGAGGCCTGTGCTTGGCGGTCTGGGCTGAATGGGTGAGCACCTAGCAGTGGCCTCTCTCATCTTAGTCTGAGATGGAGTCGTGTGCCCCCAACCCCTCCCCCCCGCCCCCACCCGCCCCCGCTCTGCAGGTTTGCGCTGGTCTGACTAGGCTGTGGTTCTACCATGTCTGTGAGCCAGGCGTCTGTCACCCTCTGTCCTGAGAACCAGATTTGGGCGTTCCCCTGCCCTGGGCAAGTCCCTCTCCCTCTCCGGGCCTCCCAGCAATGGAGGGACCCGGCCAGCTCCTGGAAGCCTCTGTATGGGCTGAATTGTGTCCCCCCAAATGTATACGATGGGGCCCTAACCCCAGGACCTCAGAATGTGACTGTATTTGGAGGCAGGGCCTTTGAAGAGAAAATTAAGATGAAAGGAGGCCATTAGGGTGGGCCCTAGCCCAGCAGGGCTGATTTCCTTAAGAGGAGAGGAGAGTAGGACACAGACGTGGCGGGGGGGGGGGGGGGGGGGCATGTGAGGACAGAGAGAATCTGGCCATCTGCCAGCCAAGGAGGGGCCTCAGGGGAACCCACCCTCCCGACCCTTCATCTCAGACTCACCCTCATCTCACCAGCTTCCAGAATCGTGGAAAACTACCTTCTGTTGTGTGAGCCACCTGGTCTGTGGAACGCTGTTCGAGCAGCCCAAGCACCCTTCCTGGCATTTCCTCTTCTCCCCGGGCCGGGCAGTGGTGCCGGGACGGGACGGAGGGGCCTCCTCTGGGGGACAGGGGCTGGGCTGGGGGCTGGGCTGCTGGAAGGGGAGCTCAGCTTGGAGAGCAGACAGAGGCTGTGAAGGCCCGGCCCCGGTGCCCTGTGCTGGCGGCCATGCCTTGGACTGGGCTGGGGGTCCAGGCCTGGGGTCCAGGGGGCCCGGGGCGTCTCTGTTTCTAAAGAGTGTCCGCCGAGGGCTGCAGCAGTGCAGCCGCCTGGCTGGTGGACGGCCTGGGCTCCAGCCGCTCCAGGGACTTCTCTCTGGCCCAGCTGGGGGAGGTTGCGTCTTTAGTCTCCTCTGACGTTTCTGGCTCCTCCAGCAGCTCTGGCTTCTTGAGGATCAGGACCTCCTCCTCCTTGGGGATTTGACGCTTCACCCACCACTTAAGAATCCTGATTCTAAGGCAACGAACCTTGTGGTTAATGCTGTGATCAGCTCCCCTTCTCTCCCCCCCTCCTGCTTCCCCTTACCAGACAGAGCCCTAGGGTGAAGGTCAGAAAACTGAGTTTTCCTCCATTTGTGGGTTCTATGACCAGCCCTCCCCTCCCTTCATCAGATGGGGGTACAAATACCCACCTTTTGGCCTGGACCCTCTTCCCAGCCTCTTCCCGGGCCTCCTGCCCCCACCCCTCCCTTGCTCAGTCTTCTCAGAGCTCCAAGAGCCCCCAGGACAAAGTCTCAGCCCTCCCACCTGGTGGCCCTTCATGACTCCATCTTCCCTCTGCTTCCCTCCCAGCCTCCTAATGTCTTCTTAAAATAGATATATTCTTATTGACTGTAGGGAGGAAGGGAGAGGGAGAGAGATGGCAACATCAATGACGAGAAAGCATTATCAGTCGGCTGCCTCCTGCACGCCCCCCACTGGGGATCGAAACCTGCAACCCAAGCATGTGCCCTGACCGGGAATCGAACCATGACCTCCTGGTTCATAGTGGACTCTCAACCACTGACCTATGCCGGCCGGACAGCCTTTTAATGTCTTGATTTGAGTATAGTGGGCTGCTTTTCTTGGACAAGTCTTTGTGGGCATCTTTCTTCTTTCTCTCAGTATTTCTGGGATATTTGCACATGTCGGTGCACGGAGTGCTTCCTCCATCTGTACAGCTGTGCAGGGTTCTGCTGTGTGGGTGTACCATCGATTACCCTGGCAACTGCAGGCCTGCCCAGCGGGCCCCCTGCTTTGCCCGGGCTGGTTCTTCCAGAGCTGTTTTAAAAAGTACCTGGGAGTTTATTTGTATTTGGCTATGGTGAGGCCAATAGATCAGGAGACAACTGCCATTGAAAAGAGAGTTACAGCCCTAGCCGGTTTGGCTCAGTGGATAGAGCGTTGGCCTGAAGGTTTGATTCCGGTCAAGGGCATATGCCCGGATTGCGGGCTTGATCCCCAGCAGGGGGCATGGAGGAGGCAGCCGATCAATGATTCTCTCTCATCATTGGTGTCTTCATCTCTCTCTCTCCATCCCCCTTTCTCTCTGAAATCAATAAAAATATATTTAAAAAAACGAAAGGAGAAGAGAGTTACAATTCCCAGAAGAGTGGTCATGCCATGCCTCGCAAGGGCACACAGGAGGCACCAGGGTCAGTCAGGAGGTGCAAGGAGTAAGGAGGAACTGTGGCTGGGAGCTTTCCTTGTGGTTTCCATGGGAACGAGCAAGGCGGGTAAGCAGACTTTGGATAGGCTCATCAAAGTACCTCGCCCATGTGAGCATGGCTATTGGTCCAGGATGGGCCTGTGACTCGCAGGGACAACCAGCATCACTCTGGGATTGATCGATCACCAAGAGAAAGACAGGTTCTCTCTCGGCTGGTTGCCAAGCTAGGAGGATGTGCACTTGGGCCTGCTGTGGGCCATCCTGCCCACTAGGTGGAGAGAACCTCCAGAGATGGGGACAGGCTCTCGAGGACGTCATTTGTGTGCCTGGATCCAGTCAGGCCTGAAGTACAGATACTTCCTGTTGTGGGCTGAATTGTGTCCCTGCCCCCAAATCCATATGTGGAAGGTCCAACACCCAGTACCTCCGGATGTTACTATTTGGGGATAGGGCCTTTAAATGAGATCTTATGAATGGGCCCTACTCCATATGACTGTACAGTTGACTCTTGAGCAATGCGGGTTTGAACTGTGTGGGTCAATCGAAATCTGTGTATAAGTAGACCCACAGAGTTCAAATATGTTGTTCAAGGGTCAAAGGTACTTGGAGATGGTGATTAACTGGAGTTTTAATCCAATATGACAGGAGTCTTTATAAGAAGAGGGAGAGACAGCAGGGGCATGGGTGCACAGAGGAATAACCATGCGAAGAGGCAGCCAGAGGCCCGCCATTTACAAGCCGAGGAGAGAGGCCTTAGGAGAAACCAACCCTGCTGACACTTAAATCTTGGACTTCCAGCCTCCAGAGCTCTGAGAAAACAAGTCTCTGTTCTTTAAGTCTGATGCTTAACATGTGGTCCATATGTTCCTGCGGCAGACTAAAAGATGGCTGCAGATTTTTGGAGCTCCTTCCATGGAGAGCTAGGGTCTGCTTCCTCTCCCCTTGAACCTTGGCTAGCCTATGACTGTCAGATATGGCAGAAGTGATGCTTGGTCAATTACAGGCTTCACCGTAAAGACGACTGGCAACTTCAGCCTTGGAAGAGATGAGAGGCCCTGAGGCTACAGGGAAAGGAACAGGGGTTCAGCTGGGCCCAGCCTTCTGGCTGTCCCCCATCAAAATGTCAGACATGTGAGTCTGAACCCTCCTGCACAGCCCAGCTGCTAGATAAATACTACACCAGGTGACGTCAGTGGATGCCAAGGGAAGCAGACGAATCATCCAGCTGGACCCTACCCAAACTCCTGACCCATGAAATTATGAGAAACATTAAAATGATCATTGTTTAAAGTCACTAGTGCTGGGGGTAGTGACATAGCAACCGATAACCAGAACTGTTCTCTTTTTCCTTGAACTTGTAGAGTTCTTCTCTTTTTAAAAAAAAAAAATTTTTTTTATTAGTTTCAGAGAGGAAGAGAGAGGCAGAGAGAGAAACATCAATGATGAGAGAGATTCATTGATCGGCTGCTTCCTGCACACCCCCTACTGGGGATTGAGCCTACAACCTGGGCGTGTACCCTGACCAGGAATTGAACCGTGACCTCCTGGCTCATAGGTCGACGCTCAACCACAGAGCCATGCCAGCCGGGCAAGAGTTCTGCTCTTACTGCTCAAATGGGAACCGTCCTGTCTAATGCGACTTGTCTCCCTCAACTGCCAAGGAGCCATTACCCCCTAAACATTTCCACCTCTGACACTTTCAGTCCCAATATCTCATGATCTGCGTAGTTCCATTCCCTCGAGTTTTCTTGTGCTTTCCTTCCAATCCGGTGTTCCTGCTCTTTGATCTCACAGGCGGAAGCTTCATTCCCAAGACATCACATGCTCCAGCATCTATCTTGGTTTCACTTCCTTCCCTACCCCTACTCCTTGCCTCCCTCGCCACCCATATAACCAGCCTTTGATGGCACTCTGCCTACAGGGATCCCAACCTGGATCTATGCCACCATCTCTTCTTTATCTTCCACTAACTGTGCCTGGGAGGAAACGTCCCCCGGTAATGACAGGTGGTTCCATAGACAATTAATAGGCTCCAGTCACCATTGGATCTTCACTGCTGCTCACTAACGGTCTTCCGTTTTATTCCCCATTTATTCCCCTCAGTGGCTACTGCAACCACGCCTAACACCATCAGCACTCTTCTTAAGTTCCCTACTCCTTACCCCTGCTCTGAGCACGTCACCTTCAGCAGATGGCTCTGCCAAAGCCCGTTGCTGTGAAAGGAAGACACTGGGTAGGAGAGCATCACCCACCCGCCCAAATCATAAATGCCAGCTGAAGATGAACAAGAGGGAGGCAGAACGTCTGCTACTGGATTTTGAGAATAAGGATAACTGATTGCTTAGACCAGTGGTTCTCCACCTTCTGGCCCTTTAAATACAGTTCCTCATGTGGTGATCCAACCATAAAATTATTTTCGTTGCTACTTCATAACTGTCATGTTGCTACGGTTATGAATCATCATGTAAATATCTGATATGCAGGATGGTCTTAGGTGACCCCGGTGAGAGGGTTGTTCGGCCGCCAAAGGGGTCTCGACCCACAGGTTGAGAATCGCTGCTTTAGACAATGCCACTTTCGTGGCATGGTGCTGGAGAGCAGATGGCCGTGGATTGAAGAATGTAATGGTGATGAGGATCCGGAAATAGGTGTAAGCTATTCTTTCAAAACAAAATATTTGGCCCAGCTGGCATGGCTCAGTGGTTGAGCGTTGACTGACCTATGATGCAGGGCGTATGCCTGGTTCGCAGGCTCAGTCCCCAGTGCGGGGCGTGAAGGAGGCAGCCAATCAAAGATTCTCTTTCATCATTGATGTTTCTACCTCTCTCTCCTTCTCCCTTCTTCTCTGAAATCCATAAAAAAATATTTAAACAAACAAGCAAAACAAAACAAAACATTTGATGGTATATAGAGGGAGTTTGTAGGGCTCAGGTGGGAAAGATCTGGGCTTGTTTATATTATCCTTCAGAGAAAGAGCCAGTAAAAAAAGAAAGATTGAAAATCTAGGAGAGAGAAGGGATGATTAATCAAGTGTTGAGGAGATGGATTCCCCAGCAAAGGAGGTGGGGCTGACTTCAGACAAGAAGAGGAATGCCTTTTTCTCTGAGAAAGACCAGGAGTGAATCATCAGGACGAATGGCAACAACTTTGTAGATGTTGGGAGTTGCTTTTTCTCTGGGAAGTATAGGTAAAACTTACTGTTGAGAGTGAGAGGGGAGGAGATAAGAGAGCTGTGGAAAAAAGAAACACATTTATAATACTGACAGAGTGCTAGGTTGGAGAGGGCTGACCAGGGATAAGTTGAAGCATTTCTGGGAAGTACTGATGCTCTGTCCCCACTTAAGGATGGAAATGTTGAAGGGATAGGGTTCCCTCAGTATCTTCCTTGAATAGACCTTCTAACCGAGTACTTGTTTTACTTGTATATATCCCAGGAAAATACAAAACTACAGGGTAAGATTAAAAAAAGATTGAAAAAAAGCTTGACAAGTATCGTATGAGAACCCCACAGTGAAAGGGAAGGGCAGAGGCAATATATTAAGAACCAAAGATTGAGAATTTTTCAAAATTTATAAAAGACACCAAAAAACCACAAATTAAAGATGCCCCAAACATATAAATAACAGCAAACACATGAACATATAAAGATATCCACATTTAGTCATATCAGAGTGAAAGCATTATTAGTGTGAAGACTCCAAAGCTCAGATGGCTATGGGAGACATTAAAAGGTGCCCAACCAGGTGCCAGGGAAGCTTTCCTAGAGCTCATGATGGAAGAGCTATGAGCTGAGGACTAAATGATGAATAAACATTGGCCAGGTAAGAGAAGGGAGACTAAGTGTAGAGAGGCTCACCAAGCAGAAGTCACAATACAGCTCAAGAAGATTTAAACAACATGATGAATTAACTTGATTTAAAGCATATTTAAAGCATGATTAATTAACTTGATTTAAAATACCGAATTCAACAAGTGTTGATTATTTCCAAACCGATGTGGAATATTTATAAAAACTAAACAAAAATTGTGCCAAAGAAAACAAAAAACTGAAATCATGCATTGTATATGTTCTCTGAACTTACTAGATTTAAGCTAGAAATAAAGAAATAAGGGTTATTAGAAATTGTTGCTGTATCTAAAAATACCGTTGGATCAAAAACTTATAATGGAAATTAAAATGTTTTAACTAAGTGGTAATAAAATATTTTATATTAAAATTTGTGAGATGCAGCTAAAGTTATTCTCAGAGGAAAATTTATGGCCTTAAAGGCAAATATTGGAAAAGAAGAATGACTGAATTTAATAATAGAAGTCCGTAGCAAGAGGGTAGACACAATAGAATAAACTGGAGGAGTTATAAGGAAGTACATAAAGTACAAAAATAAGTCCCCACCAGTGTGGCTCAAATGGTTGAGCATCATCCATGCACCAAGAGGTCCCTGGTTCGATTCTGGGTGAGGGCACATACCCAGGTTGTAGGCTTGACCCCCAGTAGGGGGCGTGTAGGAGGCAGCTGACCAATATTGGTATCTCTCTCTCCCTTCCTTTCTCTCTAAAAAAAAAAAAATCAATAAAAACATATAAAGTAAATGAGTAAGTAAATAAGTGTATTAGGTTTTGGGAAAGCCACGCGGATAAGCTTTAACTTGATACTCACACAAGAAGGACGAGGAAGAAGTAGAATAGTGCTGGAATAATGACTCCATACACGATGCCCTGGATCAGCCCTTTCACAAACAATATGGAAACCGAGCTTTCATCTGGAATCAGCAGGAAGCAAGAGTGTTGTTGTTTTTCCTCCTGAAGCTGTGAAGTCTGAGAAGCTCTTCCTCCTTTTGTCCCCGTGCCCATCCTCATCCCCGTCCCCAGGTGTTGTCATTCTAGCCCAGTCACTAGACCCCTGTGTACTGACCTGGTACCAGGAAGATGCTGGCCTCTTGGATTCCATATTTGTTCTTCCCCTCACAGTGAAGGCTCATGACTGTTTCTGGCTTCCCAGTGAACTCGATGGTGCTGTTGGCCCAGGGGGCAGCTACGGTGATGGCCACCTGGAAGGCGTCACTCATGTTTTTCAGTCTCACAGGAACACCTCCCATAAGCCACTGCACGACGGGTGTGGGGATACCATAGAAAGAGCAGCTGCACTGCAGCTTCTTCTCCAAGGAACACACGTAATGGAACAGCGTGGCGGGTACTGTGGAGAGGGAGGGCCAGGAGTCGCCGAGGCACCCTGATCCCCCTTTTCCACTTCCTCCAGGACCCAGCCTTCTCCTCATTTATGATTCAAAAGGAGCTGCGGCAAGACTATCTGGAAGCTCAGAGGGGCTGGAATTCAGAGCAGTTCTCCTTCCAGCCTCTCTCCTCATCTTTCTCAGGCTTGGGCTCAGCCCTTACCGCTGACCTTTCAGCCCCAAAGGCCAGGGGAAGATGTGACTTATCCCCAGAGGTCCCTTCCCTTCCTGTGAGGCCTCGGGGGTTTCCTCTTGGGGTTATCATTTCTCTCTTTCCTTGCTGCCCACCAGCACTCACTGATCACTGGGGACTTGACAGCGGTCGAGTTAGATAGAGGGAAGTTCAAGTAACATTGCAGTGCGGCGCCATGGTCCTTCGGCTTTGGTGTGAAGTGCAGCACGGAGGAAGAGACGGAGGAGTTTCTGGAGCCTTTGGGGTTGAAGGACATGGCAGGTTCTTTCCAGGAGAGGAAACGGGCTTTGGCTTCTATGCAGGAGCTTCTGATGGTGCAGGTCAAGGTCACAGACGCTCTGGCCATAGGAATATCTGGAATGTAGAGCTCTGGTTTTTGAGTCAGGTCTTGAGGGACAGAGATGTGTTGTACCCAAACCTTGGCGACAAGGGACCCTCACGGACACGTCACTGATGCATAGCGTTTTCAGGTTACAAAGTGCTTTCCCACCCATTAGCTCATTTAATGCCCCTCCCCCATTCCTCCAACCTCATGGAACCCGGGTAGCTTTGCATTAAGTATATTTATCTTCTCTGCATGAAAGGAGCATCGCCCACTGTCTAGGTGAGCAAACTAAAGAGACTTGCTGAAGGTCTCGAGCCTGAACTTGAGCCTGAACCCTGGACTTTCAAGGTGAAGGTGAGTGAATTTCCTAAGGATCAAGATCGCCTATGATCCCTTCTCTGTCCCCCAGCCCGGACTTCCTAGGCCAGCTCATACCCTGCCTCCCTTCTTCCCAATCCAATTCTCCCTGTAGGCTCTGGCCCTTCCAAGCTTGATCATTCGTGCCTCCAGCTCTCCTTGGCTTGCTGCTGCTGGCTAAGTCACTTTCTCTCTCTTTGCCATTTTGATTCAGAAAAAAATAAAGATTTCAACTGTACCTGTCTCTTTGTCTTATTGTTGTAAAAATTAAATCACTAAGTTTTTGTTTGTTTGTTTTTTTTAAAGCCCAGTGCCTGGTGAGGTAGACTAGAATCCCTAGAACCCCTTCTGGAGTTCCTCCTTTCCAAACCACCCATTGCATGAGACTGAACGTCACCTGACAGGAAGAGTGTGATGTTCTCCCTCAGGAGAGCAGCCTTTTGTTCGTGAAGATCTTCAGGGGACAAGTATGTGGCATTGAACCTTTTGAGGACATTGCGGGTCAGCAGGGTACAGTCTCGTTCTTCAAGATTCCAAAGGATGTGGAATCTCCCATTGCTGTGGTCATCTATGATAACATTGGACTTATTGGTGGCTACAGGGGCGCTGATATTTTTGTTGAGCCAGTAGCCCATGATCATGGAACTGCCCAGAGGTTCTTTGGGAAATGCTAATCTGCAAGGGACTGTGGTGCACAGGTTCTCTTTCACTGGTATCTTCGTGACTCCCATCAAAGCAGGAGAAAAGAACCCTGTGGGGAGAGATTCAAGTTGAAAATAGACTCACCTAGTGTGTCCCAGTGTCCCAATGGCGCATTAAAGGATTGACCGTGTCCTAGGAAGGTTTGGCCATTGCCCAGATCCTGGGAGGTGACTTCCAAGCCCTTGGAATATCCTGGCTGATGAGTGTGTCTTGGTTTATCCGAGGCCTTGGGCCACAGTCAGACAGTATATGCTAACAATGTGATTGATGGTGGGGACCTGGGGGCACACGGTATCATCTTGACTTCTGGAGGGGCTTGAGGCTAAGGTTGGCCATGGGGGTGGTCAGCCATGCCTATAGGATAAGACTCCCTCTGGACCCCCAGGAAAAACCCTAGACACCAAACCTCAGTGAGTTTCCCTGGTTGGCAATACTATGTGTGTTGCCACCCATTGTCCACACAGCTCTACTGGGGGAGACAACTGGAAGCTCATACCTGCTCTCTCCTACACCCTGCCCCATATGCCTCTTCCCTCTGCTGACTTTAATCTCTATTCTTTTGCTTTAATAAACTGTAACCATGAATATAACAATTCTGCCGAGTTCTGTGAGTCCTTCTTGTGAATCAAGGAACCCAAGGGTGGTCTTGGGGACTCCCAAACTGCACCAATATAATGCCATCTGCTGTTTTTTGTTTTGTTTTGTTGTTCTTGTTATTGGTAGTAACTGTATCTTGTGACCTTGGCCTCTTTCCAGGAGAGAAAGCGGGCTTTGGTTTCTATGCAGGAGCTTCTGATGGTGGAGGTCAACTCAAAAGCTCCCTGGCCATAGGAATATCTGGAATGTAAAGCTCTGTTTTTTGTGTGTTTTTAAATCTTCACCCAAGGATATTTTTCCATTGATTTTTAGAGAGAGTGGAAGAGAGAAAGACAGAGAGAAACATTGATGTGAGAGAAACACTTGGATTGGTTGCCTCCTGTGTGAGCCCCAACCAGGGTCTGGGCCAGGGAAGAGGCCATAACTGAGGTACATGTCCTTGACTGGAATCAAACCCGGGACCCTTTGATCTGCAGGCCGATGCTCTCTATCCACTGAGCCAAACCAGCTAGGGCTAGAACTCTGGTTTTTGAGTAAGTGTGTATAGATTTCCAAGTGCCTTCATAGAAATCAGCTTAGGCCATTCGCATAATGGTTTTATTATTAGTCCCCTAGACATATGGGGAAACGGAGGTTCAGAGAGATTAAGGACATAGCCCCATGTGATAGAGAAAAGAGTAACATCATCAGGCCTGGGCCCCAGCTTTCACACATGAAGTCTGCTACTCTGACATCACATCTGTGGGTCTTGACACACTTGGCTCTGGTCCACTGTGCTGAGTCTCTTCTCTAAGATTCGACCTGATAATGCTCATCACGCAGGATGATGCTGAGAGAGCAGATGTGGGTACACTTATCATCTCGGTTCTAGAGTGGCAGGGGCATGGCATTAAAATGGAACGAGGAGTCAGAAGAGTTGGGCTCCACCAGCAAAATTTCCAGGGACTTTGGGCAAGTTGCTCAATCTCTCAAAGCCCGTGTCCTCATCTGTCAAATGGGCATAACAACTCCTCTGGGGGAGGTTGGGTAGTTGAAATGAGACACGTGGTGGGTCACAATGCCAATCACAGAATGTGCACATGGAATTCTTTATTACTTATCACGTACTTAATTCTTGAGGTCCTCACCACTTTTCCCAACCTCAGCCTTTCTCATCTTCCATCGCCACTCAGCTCCGTCCCAGAGCATTCTTGGCTTCCTGAGATACCCCACCCTGCCTCTCCTTCCACTTACCCAGCCATAACAGCAGTAGTGCCATCAGCACCAGCGAGATCTCAGGGACATGAGAGGACCAGCATCTATGCTGCTGCGAACTCTGATCTCAGGTCCATATGTCCTGGAGGGAAGGATAGGGAACGGGTGAGGAGGAGTGCAACCGTGAGAGACATGGGTTGGGGTAGAAACAGACTCACGTCTTAGTAGGGGCTATTGTCTCTTCCATCACCTTAAGGTCTGTTCATCTTGTGAATGGGGAGCTTCATTTAAACAACCACCAGGAGCTTCAGGAAGAGAGTCCCTACGACTCTTGTGGAGCCCCTACACCAATGGTCGGCAAACTGCGGCTCGCGAGACACATGCGGCTCTTTGGCCCCTTGAGTGTGGCTCTTCCACAAAATACTGACTTCTGCGCATGGGGCACGAAGTTTCAATTGCACTGTACGTGCGCGCCCGCACATGGTATTTTGTGGAAGAGCCACACTCAAGGAGCCAAAGAGCCACATGTGGCTCACGAGCCACAGTTTGCCGACCACTGCCCTACACCATGTCTGCTTTCTTCTCTCTCTTAGCATCTTCACTTGCCTCCTTCCTCCGTTAAAGGGCCTCAGAGGCCAGGCTGAGGAGCTCGGCCTCTCTCCCAAGTCAGTGGGGATGTAATACAAATCACAGCAAGGTTTTGAACTATGGGGAGCAGCTTTGGGCACTATAAAGGTTCCTCTGGGTGTGCACTGAGGAGGACACAAGAGTTCAGGACAAAGATGACGTGGCCTCAGTTGGCATGGTGGCTGGGGGGTGGAGGGTGGATAAGAAGATGGGATATACTTAGGATATCTGCATACACACACAAAGACATTTCTATGGCTGACAGGGTAAATTCCAAACTCCCTTGCTTTGCATTCGAGCTTTCCATGATTTTGCCCCACACTTGCTCTATCTCCACCACCCCTCTCCCTACACTTATGCCATTATTTGCATGTGAAAGAGAAAAAAAGGTACCCATTCCAGCCTGGCCAGTGTTGTTCAGTAGTTGAGCGTGGACCTATGAACCAGGAGGTCATGGCTTAATTTCAGGGCACATGCCTGGGTTGCAAAACATCCATATTCCAGGGAAGAAGTGGGCATGCAGGATGTAGCCAATCAATGATTCTCTCTCATCATTGATGTTTCTCTCTCCCTCTCCCTTTTCTATATATATTTTAAAAGGGACCCATTCCAAACATATGCCATACATTCCTACCTCTGTATGTTTATTTGGGCCATTCCCCTTTTCATGGCAACCTTCTGCAACTCTCTCCTCTGCCTCCGCTCAAATCCTACCACTCTATTCAAGTCCAGATCAAATGGAACTTCCTCATGGCAGCGCCCAAGGATATCCACAACCAGAAAGCCGTCTTTCTCTGACTCCTCAGCTCCCTATCTGTCCACACCTTTTATGGCAATGTCTCAGGCTGTCTGTCCCCAAGAGTTTTCTACATGATGTCATCCCTCCTGTGCCTCTTTATTCCAAATTTACTCAGGTGATCAAGTCCCCAGCTCTTTAAAAAAAACCCTGTATTTCCCTGCCTTTTTTTAAATTTAGGGGTGGCTATGAAGCTACTGAGTCAAATTCAAATAGAAAAATGCTATTAAATTATCAGGATATAAAAGCCTATTCAACCCTAGCTGGTTTGGCTCAGTGGATAGAGCTTCGGCCTGCAGGCTGAAGGGTCCCAGGTTTGATTCTGGTCAAGGGCACATGCCCAGGTTGTGGGCTCGACCCCCAGTAGGGGGCGTGCGGGAGGCAGCCAATGAAATAATTCTCTCTCATCATTAATGTTTCTATTTCTTTCCCACTCCCTTTCTCTTTGAAATCCATAAAAATACATAAAAAATCCTATTCAGCCTTTTACACCATTTTTCTTTCTGCCATCACAATTGAGATCTGAGTATCTGTTTTAGGATTTTTTTTTTTTTTGTATATACTATAAACTAATAAAATTCCAGAGCTTAGTGTTTTTTTTGTTTTTTGTTTAAAAAAAAAACACTACATATTTTTTTGTCCTGGCTGGTGTGGCTCAATTTGTTGGAGCATCGCCCCACACACCAAAAGGTTACAGTTTTGATTCCTGGTCAGAGCAGATACCTAGGTTTCGGATTCTGTCTCCAGTCAGGGTGCGTACAGGAGGCAACCGATTGATCCTTCTCTCTCTGTGTCTCTCTCTCTCTGTCTCTCCCCTTCCCTTCCATTCTCTCTAAAAATCAATGGAAAAATATCCTCGGGTGAGGATTAACAACAGCAACAACAACAAAATAATATAATTTATGTTCTCCTCTGCAATATACAGCTCTTTAATGAATATTCATGAGTGTTATTGACTTGTTCCATTCTCTGTTAATACAAACACTCCCTTGAAAGAACAATTTAAACAAAGTGGTCTTATGAGACTCCAAAGATATTACAAATTGTTCCATGTCCTATGAAAATGATATTCAAATAAAATGGAATTCTGACCAGTTGTCTTACTTGATAATTTCTTGCTCTGGTAACAAAACATTGTGATTGATGGCACTGTTTTCCTAAATTGTATACCTGTCTGTGGGATCGCACTCTCCTCTTTTTCCACATGAACGACGCAAAAATAAAAATGCGTGGACTCTGCTAGACTTATTATTAAGCAAATATTTTGAGACTTGTCTATACAAAATACCAACTATATGAGTCTGTCTGCTGGAGACTTTGGGAAATTCTGCTTTTCTGATGTTGGCGCCAACACTTTCTCCTTGTCACTTGCTGCTTCTTCCCTGGAATATGGATGTAACTGCGGGAGGTGGAACGGCCATTTGGCAACCACGAGGTAACCATGAGCGCGGTCTCCTCTCCCCAGCTTCCTCATCTATAACACGAGAGGTTTTTATTGCTCAATATGCGACATTCCTTCAGTCTTTAATATCTCTTCCACATCTCATTCCCTTCTCCAGGCCTTGGCGCCTCCATGTGCTGACTCCACAGGCAACCTCTTTCCTTTTCCAAATGTCCTTTTCCAAGTTTACCTCCTCGTCTCGGGTTCAGGTTCCAAGAGTTCCAGCCTGGAAACCTCCTTAACATGTGTCCACCTGGCTACTTCCTTGAAAACTGCATTTTCCCGAACGACAAGTGACTGACCGGCTGACTTATTAGCTATAAGTTATAGTTAACAGTCAGTGCTATAGAACGCTCACTGGGGAACGTACTTTCCAGAGCAAGGAACTGTTGGGCTGATGTAACGTCTCACCATGAGCCCGATGAACTGACTGACCCGTGGAATAACCGTGTGCACAACCACTAAGTGACTTACCGGGAAGTGACAGAGGTGGAGGAAGGCTAACTGATTAGTTGCTTTATAACCGGCTCATTAGACTTCCTTGGCGTCTCCAAGCTTCACTAACATCCCACCAGCCAGAGGTCACGTGCGGATACCTGCTCCCCAAGAAGCGGTCCTCCAAACCCCCAGGGCAGCCCCACCCGCACGTGCACCCATGAGCATGCGCCGCGAGTCCATCAGGAGCCAATCCAGGCCTGAGGATGCGCGCAGGGGCCGCTGAACGGGGAGGGGTCTCCTGGGTCTCCAGTGGCTGAGCCAGTTTGGAACAACGGTCACTACTGGGAACCCTGGACTCTAGCTGGGCGGGCCTCCCCCTCCCCAGCCCTTAGGAGAACCGTCTTTCTAGACTCCTCCTTGAGTTCAAGACTCGAGGCCAATCAGTGGTTAGGGGACATTTTTCCTCCAACCATTACTTGTGGGGAAGCAGGTGATGGGCAGATTGGCGGCCATTGATCAAGGAACAAAATGCCAAGTGCACGACCCTCGTGGCCGATCAGAAGGCGCCTTGGTACGCCCTTGTTTCCTGTCCTGCGACCAAGGCCCATCCCCAAGAAGACGAAACACACAGAGATGACCCAGCTCTCCATTTTCATGACAATCCGGGCCTGACCTATTTCCAACCCAGTTCCCATCCTTTTTCTCATTCTCCTCCCCTTCCTCAAACCTACCACCCTTCCTCGCCCAGTCCTTGCCCACTCCTCCCTGATATAGGATTTGTTTCTTTGATAGAAGCAAACTTCAGACCTATAATAAAGGATCCTCCCTTCAACTTAAAACTTCTGCTACACAATATTCTCACAGATGAAGTCCTGATGAATAGGAACCCTCTTTCCAGGATTACAAAACACTTGAGGCACTAACTCTCCCGGAGAGAAGCTAAAACTTGAACTTCTCACCTAGAGGCCCTGAAAGCTCTCTCCCCCAGCAGCTCACCCCTTAGTCTGAGCTCCAGCAGCACAGACCCCTTCACTCCCCTGCCGACCTGGATTTCTTGAACTCATATCAAACTGCTCCCATCTCAGAGCCCAGAACCTGCTCTTCCCTCTGATTAGCTCCAAATAGTTTAGGTCTCAGCAGAAATGTCACTTTCTTGGGCTTTCTAATCTACACTAGGTTCCTCCTCTGTTCTCTCATACATGCTCATAGTATTCTGTCCTCCTCCTTCTTGGCACTTAATCATTTTAAGTTATTTTTCTTTCTTTCTTCATTCTCTATGTAGCTTGTGAAGACCACGAGCTCCACGGAGGCAAATTCAGTGTCTGGCTTGTTTGCCTCACCTGTGGAATGTATGAACTGCATGCAAGAAAGGTGCCCATACATGTGGGGACTTATATAAAAATCTACCTTTAGTACAAGATGACCATCTCACTGGTGCTGAGGGAAGAACCACTGAATTGACTCGCAAATAATGCCCCAGGGAAGAGATGATCCTTTTCTCAACACATGCAAATCACCAGCCTCTGGTGCCAGAAAGGTTGTCATCTACTCTGAGGGGAACACTTCACAGCCCTGGTCCATTCTAATGCCAGAAGCCCACTCTCATTCCTTGTGTGCCTACCTTTCAGCCTGGCCAAGAAATACTGCAACAACCTCCTAATTAAGTTCTTTGCCTCCAGTCTTATCTGGTCACCCCACTTCTTTGCTTCAAATCTTCCAGCAGCTTACAATTCATCCACCCAACCATCCATCCATCCATCCA